CGTAACCACAGTATTCCGGCCCTCCATGAACGCAGCACGGGTCTGAACTGCACTGACTGAGACCTTAGCCTGAGACAGAGCGCCGTCCCGAATAGCGGTCGCGTCATCATGCCATTATCCGGCTGAGACTGCAGCCTGCTATGTGAGACACTCAATACAGCACTCCTAGCCAACTCTTTATTACACACATCAACAAAAAACATTCTCCTCCATACACTCAACGGTAGGGTGGGGGGGAACAGTGGGCTCAGTCACACCAGGCGCTGCGCCGTCTTCCGTTCTCTCCCCCTCGCCATGTCATAAACGGCATCTCTTCTGGCCGCCCTTCGGGTGATGCCAGGATGATGCTTTAATGACCTCTCTCGCCGGCGGAATGGTCGGCACCTCTGGCGCTGCAGGGGGGGGGGGGGGGGGGGCCGCCGTCTGCTGGAGGCCGCCGTCTGACGCCAAGCTGTAGCGAGAGTAACGGCCGCCCTCCATCATGTCCACTTCCGGGTTGGAGGGAATGGGGGGCAGCTTAATCTCCCACTGTTTAGCAGCCCACTCAATGAGACCTGAAAATTCAGAGCACAGAGAGGCTGTGGCGTCATCATCCAGGGATGTAAATGACCTCACACTTTCCTGAGGGAAAAGGGGTGTTAAACATCTGGTTCAGTGTAATGAATTGTTCCAATAGAATATTCATTTCTTCCCCAATAGCCCTGTCATCTCCTGAGTCAGCGCCTTCAGATGATGCCTCAGAAGCTGAGGCTAACACTGATAGCACATCCTCAAGAGGAATATCCTCCCTAAAAATGCCCAACGCTGCTTCCTCTCCTTCAAAAAAGGAGGGCGCAGCTGGCGCATAGTGGGGGACTAATGAGGCCGTCCCTGGCGTGCTGTGTCCCTCAACCCACAAAACATAAGTCGGGGGGGGGGGGGGGGGGGGGGGGGGGGGTGTCGACAGCCACCAGGGGGAACAGCGACATTGAGCTCTGAAAAGAGCTTTTGTTAAATACTTACCCTATGGATAAGCTTGGTGTGCTCATTGTGGGACGATGTCGATGATCTGGAAAATCGACGGCGTTTTCTTCGTCTTGAGTCTTCTCTTCGTCTCTTCTTGGCTTCTTCAGTCTAGTCCAGTCGCTGAAGATAAAGGGAGTCTGATTGAGGGGAGGCATCCCCTCTTATAGGGACACCTGTACTCCTATTGGCTGCAGGTGTGTGCATCATTTTGTCTCAGGCTGATGCTGCCTTAGGGCAGTGGGTAAACCAATAGGAGCAGAGCTCCCCTATGGGGCGGAGCTCCACGATATAGAACTGCCCCCAATTCCCTCCAACCCGGAAGTGGATATGATGGAGGGCGGCCCTTATTCTAGGCCTAGGAGGGCAGCCCTTATTCTAGGCCTAGGAGGGTGGCGGAGCCTCTGGCACCGACCATATCCTCGCTCAGTAAATATGTGGAGGGCTCATGGGAGGCACCTTTGGCGGCGCGTTTGCCAGCTAAGGCGTACCTCCCATTCACCAGAGTGGAAGGGAGACAGCAGGGCTTCTACAAGGGAACCCAAGACTCGAGAGCGTCTTGGCTGCGTACCCCGTGCCGGGTTCGAGTCCCTGGCCCTCGTCGAAGAAAGCCGCTCTGCCTACACAGAAGGACCGATTCACAGCGCAGCTGGTTGAGAAGTCCTTTGTGTTGGGAGCCCAGGCCGTAGCAGCGGCGAATAATATTGCCCTCCTAGCAGCCTCTCTGTCCCGTCTAACCACGGGTAAGTCTGAGCTCACAGGGGAGGAAGCGTCCATCTCCACCTAACGCAGGCGTCGGCTGTTTGTGCAGGGAGGTCTATGGCCACCTCGGTGGTCGCAGAGCGACACCTTTGGCTGTCAATGACAGCCATGAAAGAGTCGGACAGAGCCTCGTTATTGAACGCCCCCATTTCTGACGACGGCCTTTTTGAGGTCGCGTCAAAGTTGCGACGGAGCATTTCGTTATATAGAGACAGTGCGCAGTTTTATAAAATAAGCTACTTCTATGCAAATGTCAGTACAATAAGTCGCAAATGGAAGGTAACCAGACTGTTTGTCATCTGTAGCCCCAAGAAATCTGCCAAAACAAGCTCAATAACTCAATGAATGCATGCACTACTATTGAATATGCATTCACCTGTATTTTGAATAGGCCTAAGCTACATAGCGATTTACCATTCAAATAAATGATTACAATTATTTGATGTAGTTAGATTGGTAAAAACAAAGTCAAATTGACTGTATCATTGATTCATTAATGCATACATGGCTGCCTCTGACAAATGTTAACGTAAAAAAGTATAATGTAATGTGATGTTGAGCTCAAACAATGCATAAAGATTGAACCGCATTAGCTGAGTTTATCTGTCAGGATCAAGTGCCATTCTGTGACTTTGACTAATATGCCTTTTCTTTGCCGTGGTATTGAGTATCGTGATACTAAACGTACAATTCTGGTATCGTGACAACACTCGTACAAGGAACTTCAGGTATACACAGATAGTTTCTAGTCTACTCTTAAAGCTAGTGTTTTGTTTGCAAGTGTATACATAGTTGCTGTTTTTATTATTCTTAACCAAGCAAACCCTGCAATGTTTCAAAAGGATCTATGCACTGGTCGGGAATAGAACCCGGGCCCTGCGTGGCAGGCGAGAATTCTACCACTCAACCACCCATGCTTGAGATGGGCTATATTTTGAACATTGCACATGTGTCCCTGCATATCCTTCACATCACAGGAGGGGTGAAATGAACAGAAATAGAATCTAGAGCCAAGTGTTAACAATTTAGCAACTATTTGGCAAGTTTTCAGTTTTCTCCAGCAACTGTTTGTGAAAGAGCCTAATGACAAATTCAGCTACTATCAAGCTGCCTTCCAGTTGTCTCTAACGTTTTATAGCATTTAGGGACTTTTCACACAGCTGTCTGTGCAATAGTCACAGCAACGGTGCACACACAGGCAGAGAAGCACAAGGGGAGAGGGGAGGAGGGTAAGATGGAATCTAGCAACTTTAGCGACAGATCAAGCAGCCAATAGCACTTTTTGCTGCTAAATAGTTGGCAACATAGAGTGGAATGAAGAGAAGAGGGAAGAATATTGAAGGGTAGGAAAAACAGGCACAATGGAGCTTGATTGTTCTCTGATAATTGGAGTCTTCTGTATTGTTCAGTCACTCCATCAACTTGTTTAGTCACTCCATTGAGTCGGGGAACCCCCTTTAAATTGCTATCAAAGCATTGGTGGTTCAGTGGTAGAATTCTCGCCTGCCACCGCGGGGCCAGTCGCGTATAGCTGTAACAGCCGTTTTGTCGAAACAGCGCCACTGAATCAGTGTGTGGCCGAAAATATATTACATCCGTAGTGGTTTAGGACTACCATAGAGAATGAATGGGAAACGCTTTAGGGCTCTTTTTATTTTTTTCAGGCTGCCTTTTTCTTGAAACGCTTTTATTGGGGGTTCAATTCTAAACAAGGAAACTGTATTCTGATATTTTTTCCCCATGTATTGGGGAATTGAATGATAGATTATAATTAGATTTTGTCACTATTGGTTTTATTTGATCATGCAGTGTATTTTCCCAAGCCCAAAACACAGTGTACTTGAAGTGTATTACTTGGAACGTTTATATTGTACCTTTGTACACTAAATAGTTATATTTATTATACTATTTAGTATAAGTATAATTCAGTGTTTTAATATAGACCCACTTTTACTTGCTATTTTTGTATACTGATAACATATGATTGATGAATAATATTTCAGAACATTGATAATATACTCCAAATGTATTCAAAATATTATACATTCCCCATCTTATTTCAGGTGTACTAGTTTATATCCAGTGTATTAAAATAATAGTATTTTGTAATGGGATTTTCTGCTTTTGTGAAAGTGTTATTTTAAAGACCAAATTACTTCATTCATTTATGCTGATGTGAAATTAATTTAAAGATAACACCTTTCAAAATAATTAACACATTTATGTACTGCACATATTCTACCATAAGATTTTCCTCTTCAGTTAAAGATTGCAGTGGATTATTCTTACTTATCAGCCCTACCTGTTGAGGAAACAAAAGTACTTCATCCGATGACCTGGTAAAAACCTTCTTCAGCCCTGCAGTCGACTTGAATGCACAGACCAGCCTTTGACCTCCTTGCCAATCTTAACTTAGATTTAGGGTTACACAAACCAAACTTTTCTGTCAGTTGATTTTTCATGTACCTTGTGCCACAATGTAATTATAAGCAACCCTGTCTGACTTCATGTACAGTATGTTCAATATGTAAACATGAATTAAAGGCAAGAGAATTGTATTGAACTTCAAAATTGTTTTATTAAAAGATTATGGCCATTTTGTTTGTTTGTGTGTGTGTGTGTGTGGATGCGTGTGTGTGTGTGTAAATCAACATTTCCTCTTTTCATCCATCCATCTTTTCTTTTCATCATGATAAAAAGCAGATGCCTGGAACTCCTTCCAGGTCATTTCTTTCTCCATACCCTTGGCCTGGTAGAGGGAGAACAGCTTGGCAGGACAATAAATATATTTCCCTGCTACTCCGGGGAACCCTGTGTGAATGTGAGGACTATTAGGGCCCTGTTTTAGTTCCAAATGGCAGAACCTGCACAAACGGCCAGAGGGTACCACATCTGCTGACTTCCTCTTTTGTTTGTCCTTCTGTTGTTCCACTTTCTGTTTTATGGATTCAAGTTCTTGTTGAAAGAAGGGTGTTGACATGAAATCCTCAAAAGACATTTTGGGGTTTGTGAGGCCCTCTGCTCCATATGTTTTAAATACTTTTGTGGAGCAGTAGAAGTACCTAACATGCCCACTCTGATAAAAATAATGAATTGAGGAGCCATCATTCATGTAACGGGACTTGGGTTGGCCACATGAAAGGCAGGTTTTTGTCATTTTTTTCTTTTGCTGCTGTTGTTGCTCTGACTGTTGCTGCTTTTCCATCAGTCCCAAAACAATTTTCTCTATGGCAGCTTCAGTAAGAGGAGCATTTTGTGTGGGCAGTGCGGGTGGGTTCACAACTGCAGGTGGGAGTGCTGTTACAGGGACACAGGTTGTGTCACTACCCATGGTTAAGTGCTGCCACAGTTGTTGGGTCTCCAAGAGCTTTTCAGGACTGGTGTTAAGGGAGGAACTGGTGTTTTTTAATTTGGCCAGGTGTTTAATATACCTTCCAATGTGGTGTTTGGTGGTTGGGTGAAGCAGGCTGTTGGGGTCTGCACATGAACTTTGCACCATGGAAGCATAGTCAAAGTCCACCAGTTTCAGCATGTCCTTCTGTCCATGATGCCTGGCAAGCAGACCATCAATAGCCACCCTCATTGGGCCAGGCCACCGATTGTGGTCCAACACAAAGACCCGGCCACCAGTCTTGATAGGCCCCGTGCGTGCACTTCTTGGTGAGGCGGTCATAGGCAGTGGAGGTGTGCAGGGCAGATCTGAAAGAGAGGAACAGTTCTTCAGTGAAAGTAATTATGCAGAATGCATGTGTCTGCAAGCATATTTAGGTGCGTGTGACTGAGTTAGTGTGAGAGAGATATGCCTATGTTTGTGGTATTATTCTGAATTACCTATGTCCATCTGGGGCTCCTCAGTGCTTTCTCTCTTTAAAGCCTCAGTAGCAGGAGCTGCAGAATCAGGAAATCTGACAGTCGGCGGCAGCTGTGTTGCTGAGGGTTGACATTTCTCAATAAATTTCTCCTGCAGAAGACAGTCTGTAAGGTAATATGACGACACAGACATTCCACACCAGCCGTCTGTGTCTTCATACCCCCCAAATGCAGCAGGTGTACTGTCCCTCCTCAGGTATTTGCTGATGGTGCTCTGACCATACAACCCTGCCTCAGCATCCTTGATGTTCTGCACACTTAGCAGGTAGGCCAGGTTTGCTCTTTCATACTTTAGGTGCATCATCTCCATCAGCTGATTGGCCATGTCATTTGGGGATTTTGCAGTGCGTCTTAATTCATCTACCACAGATTTACAGATCGCTTTCTTGTAGGTAAGGAGGGCTGGCAACATGTTGGTATACCTTTTAGGGAGCTTTGCCAGCCACAGAGGATTGTCAGCAAACCAATTCCTTTTGCATGCTTTGCAGCAAAGCCGAGATGCAAACAAGTAATATTGATTGACAATGCCAACAACCACTCGAGGCCTTCCTACACCTGATGAAGTTATCTGTGGTCGAGAACAACTGTGAAGACATGGGAGAACATAATTGTTTCTCAGCCTTCCCATGATGCTGTCATTCTCTGGTTTCCAGATGAAGAATGGATGTAGCTGGAAATATTTGGGGGATGGAAGCCCACAGGCAGTCTCAATGAGCTCAGGCTGAGGTGGTAGACGCCACAAAGAGACAGAGTTAGTAAGGTGCCTCACAGGTGGACTTCCCGGCCACAGTCCCATGGCTTCCAGCTCCATCTTCATCCATACCTTTTGCTGTTGAGAGCAGTTCCAGTGAATCATTTCTTGGTCATATCTGGGCAGTGGAAGTGAGGGTGGAAATCCAGGGTGTGTTGATGCTGGCGGCACAGGCTGAGATGCAGGGCGTGTTGATGCTGGTGGCACAGGCTGAGATGCAGGGCGTGTTGATGCTGGTGGCACAGGCTGAGATGCAGGGCGTGTTGATGCTGGTGGCACAGGCTGAGATGCAGGGCGTGTTGGTGCTGGCGGCCCAGGCTGACGTGCAGGGTGTGTTGGTGCTGGAATCACAAATACCAAAAGGTAAAAAATCAACATGTAGACTACAGTGATTACTTACTTATAGTACACTTATTTCACAAATACACAATTGAATGACCTTGTAGACTAAATATATCATACATGCACATGCACAGAAATTCAGAGGACATGCAAAAAGGGAACTCAAATGAACACTTACCCTCATGGAGACGGAGGTTTTGATGGACATGTTGTCATGAACATGTCCTTTTGATTTTGTTAGTAGAACACAAGCAAAATAACAATTAGGAACATGGCCAGAACATAGCCAGAACAAAGCCAGAACAAGGCCAAAATAATAACCAAGGTATATTGTTAGGCAGAATAATTCAGTGAATAGTCCTGCCAAACTGATGGAGAAAAACCTCTGCCAGTAGACACAGATGGTGCTCCTACAGCTGCTGATGCTGGTGAATCTGAAATAAAGTTTAACATACACACACATGATCTTGGTTGCAAGCAGTTACATTACAGTTTACAATGAGTAGATTTGAAGTAATTTGCCTAAAGTAGCAACGATACACAATAGTTAATGTAGTTGTCAAAATAGCTAGAAAATAAGTGACAATAATTCCTCACAAATGTAGCACAACTATTTGTTGAATAATCCTTACATTCCTAACTCAAATGGAAACTCAGTAAAATGGTTATGTGTTTAAAAATACATAGAAAACATGTTTAACTCAGAGCATGGTCTGGATTTTGGAAGGTGAAATACTCAGTATAGCTTTCTCCAGGAAAACTTCATTCATCCATTGCTATGCAATAAAACATAATGAAAACCAAAAAAGATATATGATGCCACAAGCAATATTTTTCAGATGATTTGTGTTTACTTTTGACATACCTTGGGAGTAAGGAGTTGCAGTAGAGGCTGGTGATGTAACGGTTGATGGCAATGACTCTTTTGTCATTAGTAGGTACTGCTGCAGTTTGTGCATTTTTGAACCTGTACCACATTTCCTTGACATAATGAAGAAAGCGTACCCATCAGCTCTGCTCTCCCATATTTCTCCCCATGTACTTTTGGCCCGATTACCAAAGCCAACCAGAGTGTCACAATCTGAGGTCACAGCAGGAGAATTCGTTTTGTGAGACTCAAACTTTGAAAGCTCCTCAATATCTTTGAAGCTCATGGCATATTCCAAAAAGGACTGCAAACTGATTTTGCTGCTCCCCTCTGTACTGAAATGGCCTGCCTCTTTTTCTTTTTCCAAATTTTTGATGAGGTACATAGTGTATCCAACATCATTTTCCAGCAGCCACCTGAAGGACTTGCCTCTGTACTTCCCAAACTGTAGTATGTACTCCCCCAACACCTCAGCTTTATCTGACACATCTCCCCCTCTTTGTAAGACAACGCTGATGGCATTCTTCCTGACAACCTCTTCCTTCAGAGGAGCAGACTTGTCCTGCATAGAAGGGTTGTCTTTGATCTTCTTGGCGGCATCAGAGGGGACTTGTAGAAGGTAACCTAACGCGCCTCTCCGAAAGGTAACTTGGACCTTGCCAGGGAAAAACACCGAAGGCCTGTGTGACATGTTAATCTAAATGATGAAGCAAAGAGTAAACAAAATTAATTATTTAATTATTTTTAATGATACCTTTCAGGCTAATGTACTAATTATACAGTACAATGTATAATATACACACACAACCTTCAACTATACAGATCTATAACCAATCCCCAAATATACACAACCTCATCTGGACAAACCAATACCCCTCCCCACATATACACTGGACAACACTTGCAATAGTAATTAACAATTAACAATCTTGTAATTAACTTTATTATGAACTATAGCTTTCAGACTATTCTGTAATATCTATACAGAAATAGCTACATCATTTAAGTGACTTATTATGAACGCATTCACATTGTATAATTCGTGAAAACATAGAATACTTGTTTATTTAGATCGCGCTATAATACTATAATACTTACAAATATATATGAGAAACGTATAGTTTCCACAAGTCCACGTTTCATTCAGATTACGTTCTAACAAAATTACTCTGAATATCCGCTGTATTTACTATTATTGCATTATTAAAAGATCCGAAGACAAATAAAAAAAAAGACAATCGATGATAAAGAACTCATATTTTGTATGTAAAAACACGACTTACCTTTGGCAGTCCTTACGAATTAGAAGCTGTTGTGTGTCTGACGTAGCTAAAACCGCTAATGTAACAAAACGTAAAATGCTCGGATCAAATGCTGAAATGTAAAAGAAATTCACGAATCAGAAAAAGTAAATAAGGCTCAGATGAGTTGTTCCCGGGTGTTTGTTGTGGTTCGTTGTAATTCGGCTATTATCTTCGCCACCTCTTGCGTAAAACCTGCCACAGCGCCTCGGAGGGCATACGTGGCCATACATATATTGCATCCGTAGTGGTTTAGCACTACCATAGGGAATGAATGGGAAACGCTTTAGGGCACTTTAGCTAAAGAATCCTCGGCTCCCGCCGCGGAAGGCCCGGGTTCGATTCCCGGCCAATGCATGTACACTTTTTGCTCTGGTACTGGATTTGTATAAATGGATTACACATTTGGCATTGCTATGTCTTGTATCATGAACATATTCAATAAAAGGTTTACTGTATTTCCCCCACATCATTTTTTATTTTAGTTTATTGTCCTCTGATGGTTTTCAAGTGCACAATATTTACAGTAAACACATTGCTCTGGTTCATTCAATAAGATCATTGGCAATAATCAATTCATAATTTACACCTAGTGGTGCACCCAGCATTAACATTAGCTACTATTTTGCTTGAAAGGGTTTTCTGATAGCTCTGCTCTTAAACAACCTCTGTCCGTTTGATCACAGGAGTCTGTGGGTTTCAGCAACATCTGCTTCTTCACTCCCACAAGGTAAGTGCTAAGTGATTGAATTGTACATTTAGTCATTAGATCAGTTTCATGAATTTATATTTTAATTTATTTGTTTCTTAAAGTGCTGTTTGATTGTCAGACCGCCCTCCGCAGCTGTATTAGTTGTTGTGGTTAATCTGGTGAGAAATTAATGACTTGATAGCAAAATATGTATTGTATTTAATATGTTTATCTTCCTTGTATGTGGACATCCCAACATTCACTGCCAGCATGTTCAGAATTATCGCAGATGTCCTAGAAAATAAATCCAGATTGGTCTTTGGTCTTGAGCTCAACATGGAAACCGGCTGGAATGATTTCCTTGGCTTGGTTTCCCCACTTAAGGTCCTGCATTTAGCATTCATATATGATTGACCGCAAGTTGGCTTTCTCGTTCCTATCAGACCTCGTAAGAAGTTACAAAGACCCCTGTTCTGCTCCACTGTGTAAACAGCGACACGCTGCCCTGGCCTGAAGAGCTCTCCAAGTACTCAGACAACCCTTAGGATGCACTCCTTAAAATCCTAAGGATGTATCACAAATGTATTATTATTATATTATAACCCTCACATGTTGATTTTGTCCATCCACGATCATGACACGCAGGTTAAAATAACAACAAACTGAACGAACGACCGTAAAACTTCAATTAAACACAGTCTCAAATAGTCACAAGTCCCTTTTAATTGCCCGGCAACGGTACACATTTCAGCAAATAAACCCCAGTTTCAAATAGAAGGCCGGTCTAAATAAATTGTTCATGATGTTTGTTTGATTTGTTACATTAAATAATTCACTTATCACTCGAAAAAATTATGCCAATCATCCGTTTTTATCGCCAGTAAGGAACTGCTAGCCATTGGCAGCTAACAGCTGAGAACTGCTAGCTAACTGGCAAGCGCAAAAACAGTCAACAACTTTGGGAGTACAGACCCCCAGAAATATGCCGATCGCCATCTAGTGGCGAAAGTAAGAACTGCCGAAAATGCAGTCATAGAGGATAATTATATATAATTATTTCAAGGAAACATTTTTTTTCTGAAATAGAGGCATACTAAGACAAAAGAAACGTACGCAGTGTGTAAATGATAGCACATTAGTGCAGGAAATTAAGAAATTGATTAAAATGCTAGAATTAAACAATTAACTATGCAAATTAGCAAATTATTAATTATTAATTTACATGGAGCCAGTTCAGGCACAGATAAATACATTTCCTGTACTTCCCCTGACCTAGCTGTGCTGTAGATCTCTGTTTGAGCTCAAAGCTTGTGCAGGGTTTCCCAAACTCGGTCCTGGGCCCCCCACCGGGTGCACGTTTTAGTTATTGCCCAAGCACTACACAGCTGATTCAAATAACCAACTCATCATCAAGCTTTGATTATTTGAATCCGCTGTGTAGTGCTAGGGCACTGAGGGGGGGCCCCAGGACCGACCTCGGGAAACCCTGCTCTAGAAAAGTTTTCAACCTTGATGGGTTTTTTAAAATTGCGGCACACCTAAATAGGCCCTGTTAATTTGTTTTGTGGTAATGACCTCAATCTCATCTGATCCATATACTGCAAATCATCTATTTTCTGTAACAGACATTTTAATAGATTAAATAGGGTTTATTTGAACTATTTTCATAGTTCCTTAGTCATAATATTTTATTAGTGTGTACCCTTTAAAAAAAACAAATATTGAGTCGATGTCTGCGCCCCCGCGGAAGTCTAATTAGCGTAATACAAAAATCCCCATAAAATCTGTCAGTTTAAGCTAGAGATATATGTTATTTTTTTCATTGGATGCATCTCAATCTACCTCATCCGCCGATGTCGCACTTCCACATCTGCGGTGAAAGGTGACAGAGCTAGAGCGGTGTTTGTCAGACTAAGAGACATCCCGAAAATCGGTCTTCTCACAAAATCGTCTGTGATTTTGACCTACAAACTATTATGACCCCTCTATGGAAGGATGAGACTCTCACGAACACAATGGTGTTCTCCGTTTTGCTCAAGGATGCACAAGACTTGTCTGAAGGTCCCCGGTACCAGTTGAAAAAATGAATGGAAGTATATATGGAGAATGTATAGTGCCAAAAAGAAGGGGTTAAATACATGTCAAAAAAAGTAATACATATTTACTGATCTTTCTTATATCGCTGATATAGGACAGACACTTCAGAACAAACTTCCTTTTGATTTTTTGGGGGGACTATCTGTTGTTCCATGTAGAGAATGTTATACAATGTGTTTGTATGGGCTAATAATGTAGCAGTAAGGCCAAATTAACTTTTTCATAAGATATTTTATTAATGTTTTTTTTTGTACACACAGACAGACAGTTTTTGTCGCACACAGACAGTCTGTTCCCCATGCTGCTCAAGACACTCTCTAATGAGTCTGATGAGGTGAGTACTACATGTGTCCCCAGCTCAGCATCTTGCTAATGTTAATACGTGTTTTTACAAAAGTAACCAACCCCACCTCACCACCATCTATCACTCAGGTCATTCTGAAGGAATGCTAGCTGAGATTGCGTCATCCCCAGCAGGACAAATCGATTCCTTAGGCTCTTCTGATAACTCTGACAGCAAACTGGAGCTGCAGGTTCCTGAGGGGGCCAAGGCAGGTCCACAGTCAGTCCTAGGTGAGTAGGAAATGGCTCTGGAACAGTAGTAAAATGCATAATACACAAGCAATAATTCTGACCCACCATCTGTCCTGTAACCCAGGTTCCAAAGTAGGTGACTCGTCCCCCTCCACCTACAGCATGAACTCCTATTTCTACAAGTTCATGATCAACCTGCTGAAGCGTTTCAGTCTGGAGAGAAGGCTGCTGGAGAACAGGGGAGCCTTCATCATCAGGTAGCGCCATGTGTGTTTGACTGCTCACATAATCAAGCAGTGACACAGTTTCTTGTGAAACAAAATTGACTGAAACGCCAAGCTTCTCAAGAGAACACTGATAAAATTGTTTTGGAACCTATGATTTTATTAGGACCCCCATTAGCCGACGCTAATGGCAACAGCTGGTCTTCCTGGGGTCCGACACATAATGAAAAATACACATTACAGACAAAAATACTTTACAATTAACATACATTTAAAAACATTAACATAGACATTAGACATATATAAAACATGTAATAAACTACAACTAAAGACACAAATGTTCCACCCCTCTGGGATTGTTTGTAGTTAGTTACCCCTTACCTATCTCTCTTCTGGGATTGTTTGTAGTTTGTTACCCCTTACCTTTCTCTCCTCTGGGATTGTTTGTAGTTTGTTACCCCTTACCTTTCTCTCCTCTGGGATTGTTTGTAGTTTGTTACCTATTACCTCTCTCCCTCTGGGACTGTTTGTAGTTTGCTACCCATTACCTCTCTCTCTTCTGGGATTGTTTGTAGTTTGTTACCCATTACCTCTCTCCCTCTGGGACTGTTTGTACTTTGCTACCATTACCGCTCTCGCCTTGCTCTCCGTCCCTCCAGGCAGCTGTGTCTGCTCCTGCACGCGGAGAACATCTTCCACTCCATGGCAGACATCCTGCTGAAGGAGGAGGACCTGACGTTTGCCTCCACCATGGTGCAGACGCTCAACAACATTCTGCTCACCTCCGCAGAGCTCTTTCAGCTGCGCAACGAGCTCAAAGACCTGCACACTCAGGTAATATCTGAGGGGATGATGCTGTATGGCTAGCCACCAGGATCTGGGTCATTTTCAATTCAGGAAGTTCCCAAATAAAACAAAATAAGAATTGGAAAAAGTGACAGAGGACTTGAATTTCAATGAACTTATTGAATGGATTGAGTTGTAATGGAATTGACCTGTGTGTGTCTGGTGCCCTCTGCAGGAGAGCAGTGCCCTGTTCTGCTGCCTGGACTGCTCCTGGTGTCAAAACCCTGTGGCCACCGTGTCGACACCCTCTGCTTCCTGACCCAGAACTATCGCCATGCCTACAACCTCATCCAGAAGTTGTATCCTTTCTGCTTGTCTTTGATATACATTTTGCATATCAGCATTGTTGCACCTCATAGTGTATGTCTATTGGTGTGTATGTTCTACTATATTTCCTTGATGTTAGCCATGTAGTGGTGACTTGGAGGTGACTGTGGACTTCCTCATGGATGTGGACAAGCTGGTTTAGTTGATCGAGAGCCCCATCTTTACCTGTGAGTCTCACAGCACCAATATTAGACCTGAACACACACACACTGAACCGCATCACACAGCACTACACACACACACACCTGTCTCTCACCTTTCTGTGTTTGTCTAGATTTGCGTCTTCAGCTGCTGGATGTGGAGAACAACCCGTACCTGATCAAGGCCCTGTACGGCATGCTGATGCTGCTGCCCCAGAGCCTTCCAGCTTCTCTCCCACCGCCTGTGCTGTGTGCCTAACCCAGAGCTCATGAGGACAGTGTGAGTAGTAATAATGATTGTGTTCATGTGGTATGCCCACAGTGTGCAGCATTCCATTCCCATGGTCACTGCCACTACAATATTCTGCCCAATATTGTTTTTTATTTTATTCCCATGCAAATGTATTAGTACAATTTCTTACATCTGATTGTTTTTGGTTTCAGGGATGAGTCTAAGCCTGTTAGCATCAAGCGTCCGGCATACGCCCACATGGACTACAATGACCTGTTGTAGCACTTTGACCGGGTGCAGAGCAAACACCTGGATGTGCACTCAAGCCTCGCCGATCACCCAGACAGGAAGTTCTTGCTGTGACACGGTGGGACCGACTTTGACCCCTGAGGCAGGGCACTGCGTTAAGCCTTCACCCACGCATGGACGCAAACACCCCAACCAACCGCTAACTTAAAGAAACCCAAATGCGGCAGGTAGCTTAGTGGGTAAGAGCGTTGTGCCAGTAACCGAAAGGTCGCTGGTTCTAATCCCTGAGCCGACTAGGTGAAAAATCTGTCGATGTGCCCTTAAGCAAGGCACCTAACCCTAATTGCTCTGGATAAGAGCGTCTGCTAAATGACTAAAATGTATGAAGACTGCTCACCACTCATATAGGAGCACCTTTGTGCTTATATTGTTTTTAGCCATTGAACATACTGTAGGCATGAAGAACATTGAGTGGGATTTTCTTTTTTAAACCGTTGTTTTTTTTAAAGGGATACTTCGGGATTTTGGCAATGAGGCCCTTTATCTACTTCCCCAGAGTCAGATGAACTTGTGGATACCATTTAAGAATTGGAAGCATGCTAGCAGATACCTATAGACTTCCAGTCATTGCGCTAACGCTAGTTAGCATTGGCTCGCGAAACTACCTCTAACTTCCTTCATACTGGACACAGACATAAAAATTGTATCCACGAGTTCATCTGACTCTGGGGAAGTAGATAAAGGGCCTCATTTCCAAAATGAAGAAGTATCCCTTGAAGTGCTTTTTTGTTGAGTTGCATACATACATAAACTCTCTCACAGACACTGCCCATAGAAATAATTTACACAATTACACTTATAGCCCAAATAAGATTATGAATTAGAAGCAAGTTTTATTCGGATCCCATTAGCTTTTGCCGAAGCAGCAGCGATTCTTCCTGGGGTCCACAAAACAAGTAAAACACTGATAAACAAGAACAGTCCCATTCAAAATACCACGATCCTCACTCAGTATATGTAGCTAGCTGACAATGTTTTGTCATACAGTAGCTAGCAGCCAGAGCAGTAACAAGAGTGGGGCAGGACCAAACAGGTGTGGGCTCATGTTAGACAAGAATGATGACATGGTACATGTCAGTTCCTATGAATATGCAGGGTTTGTTTACAGCTGATGTGCTTCAGTGATGCTGCCCAGACCTATTGCAACAAGCAAAGAGCTCCAACTCGTTATGTCTTTGAAAGAAACGTGTCTCCTGTGAGACACCCCAATAAAGAGCATTTATTTGATCTGTAGTTCTTTTGAACACACCCTCTATTTAATGTTGGCAACTGCTCCGTGCGACATCTGTGGTCACGTGTACAGCATTGGTGATGTGATAAGTCAAATTACCACACCTGCAACTCACTGAGTGACAAACCTTTCCTCGTACATGGTTGAATATAGAAAATATCCTCACCCGTATTTGTAATGGCACTAAAAGATTTATAGTGGTTGATATGGACCACAGAGCAAGGCAACTCATCGTTTGACATCCCCATTGTATTTCACAAATCAGTGAATTCCAGTTGATGCACACAGAAAGTAATTGCAGCGTTCAGTTTTCCATCCCTGTGGCGTTACCTCGTCCTCATTTTAAAGATGTAATCCCAGAAATCTTAAGGATGTTTGAACAAAAATCACAATTTCCTCACACCTAGTGCATCCATAAACTTATGCCATTCTTTAAAGGCCCAACGCAGCCGTTTTTACCTCTATCAAATAATTTCCAGGTAACAATTAAGTACCTTCATACTGTTATGTTGTTCAATTGAAATGGTCAGAAATATTTTAAAAAGCAACTTCAAGCAAATAATTTTGCTTGGACTGAGTGAGGTGCCTAATTGGAGGGATCTGTAACCTAAAAACTAGGTTTGAAACTAATTGGTCTATTAACTTCCAAAACTCCATCCCACCAAAACAGGCTGAATTTTCAGCCACTATTTTCAAAACTCGTACATTAAAACTGCATTATTTTCACAATATTATTCCAACCTCAGTGTGGAAATGTATATTTTAACACAGGAAAATCATGTTGACTGCACTGGTCCTTTAACATGCAGTTTCCCCCAACACTGCTTTGACTTCACAAATCTGAACGATTTGATTAAATTAAAGTGCATTTACTACTAAAGAACAAAGCAAGTAATGAGACCACTGCAGAGTATTTAAAGCAACGCAAGAAAGATTCCTCTAACTTAGGTTGAGTGTAACGCATATTGGATACTCTTGACACGCAAAAGCCCCTAAAGCTTTAAGATGCCATGTTTAGACCAAGGTTCTCTTACTGATCAGAGCCAATAGCCCACATAGTGAATACAAACAAAAGGGGAGTTCCGGTGAAATATTTAATTATTTATTGGTAATCAAAGTGCTGTAGAGAATTGAAGTTCATGGTCAGGAGATCGCAGAGCCTGTCAGATACAAAGTACAGTTAATATAGTACACAATAAGATACAGCATAAATTGATGGAGTGGGTGTACCTTTAGACCATAACAAACCAGGTCCCATATTCATCAAGTGTCTCCGAGTCAGAATGCCGATCTAGGATGAAGTCCCCATTGTCCATTCATTATAATCTAAAACCGATCAGCACTCCTACTCTGCTTTATGAATGTGCCCAGAATTAGATGCGAATAGACCATAGAGGTAGAAAGAAGGCTCTAGATTGATACAACCAGTCTTAGCATGGACATTGCTATTGAGGGCTTCCACCAATTTAAAGTAGTCAACTGTTGGGGATACCTATGGGTTGGGAGTGATTAGCCAATGATCAGTGCATTGTCTTAAAATTGGGTTGCACATGAATTGTAAATGGCTTTAAGCTGTATCACCGCAATCTAGTGACCACAATAAATGAATGACAAGTTTTGGTTCAGCACTCCAGCACTGCATGTGGTGGTAAATCACCTTATTAGCGTTACTTTATTTTAAAACACAAAAGACAAATTTCACTACATTAAAATGGAGATGCCCATAATGGTGCCGTCACAGACACCATAATGGCACAGATACAAAGATTAGTCCTCTTTCAATCTATGGAATAGACAGACAAATTACCTTAATCTTGAAACTGCATGGAAAGAAACATTGATTAAATAAAATTGTGATATGTCAATTAGCCCATCATACCTGCACTTAATTCATCCTGAATTCAGGTCTTCCTGGAACGACATCACCACGGGAGCTTCCACTCCAGGACTGGGCGTAGTTTCTCTGAGGAAGTATTTGTGGCATGAATCCTCTGGGACCTGCGCCTTCATCTGATTCAGGAGTGGGTTGGACAGGACTAGGCTCTTCACCACTGGGGAGGTCACCACCTTCAGCTGATGCAGGAGTGGGTTGGACAGGACTAGGCTCTTCACCACTGGGGAGGTCACCACCTTCAGCTGATGCAGGAGTGGGTTGGACAGGACTAGGCTCTTCACTGGGGATGTCACCACCTTCAGCTGATGCAGGAGTGGGTTGGACAGGACTAGGTTCTTCGCCACTCTCAGCCTTCATGTTGCTTGAATCACTGGCAATCTGGGCGAACTGGTTGGCTGCATTTGGGTTTAAGCCACTGTGAAAAGGTACAACCATGTTGACTTCCAAAGCAGTTTTGTGGTCCCAGGGCTGTGAAGAGCTGGCTGGACGTTGGACAGCAGAGTTCCTACTTGGGTCATCTGTACTTTGTGCAGAGGAAGGTTGGCTGGGGTAAGGTTTTGCTTTAATGAAAGCTTTGGGAGGAATGGATTGTCCAAAATAACTGGTGGAAGGGTTTTCCTGACCTGAGGAGTAGTAGCCACTAGGCGCTCCTCCATTCTGGTCATAGCCAATATTGGAGGGCACAGGGTAATAGTCTGTTTGGGCAAATGTTACTGGCCTTGGGCCACCTACGTTATAAGGGGAACCATAGCCAGGGGTATAACTATGGGGCACAGGTCTGCTGCTTTTGGGGTTTGGGGAACCATGTTCACTACCTTGCTGACCTGGAGAGGGTTTCTTACCAGCCTGGCCTCCTCCTGAATTGGTGGTGGAAGGTTGGATCTGCCCTGGGTAATAGGTTCGATAGAGGGTAGAAGCATAGGGGACAGGGTCAACATCAATGATTGGTATGGGACGTGTGGTTTGGGCAGTCTGTCCTCGACTAAAATAACTGATGGAGGGTTGCTGCTGACCCGAGTAGTAGCCACTAGAAGCTCCTCTATTCTGGTCAGGTGTTACTGGCCTTGGATAATTATACTGACCATACATACTGTAAGGGCTGGCAGAAGGTTGGGCAGCAGAGGTTTTACTTGGGTCAGCTGTACTTTGTGCCAAGGCAGGTTGGCTGGGGTAAGCGTTTGCTTCAACGACATGTTTGGGAGGCCTGGTTTGTCCAGTCTGTGCCTTGTCAAAATAACTGGTAGAGGGTTGTTCCTGACCAGAGTAGTAGTAGCCACTAGGAGCTACATTTTGGCCATAGCCAACATTGGAGTGCACAGGGTCTCGATGATAGTCTGTTTTGTCAGGATTGACTGGCCTTCTGAGGTTATATTGGCTACCAACACTATAAGGAACGCCATATCTGGGGATATAATGTGGGCGTGCAGGTCTGCTGCCTTGGGGGCTTTCATAGCTGGAGGAAACAAGTTCACTACCTCTCTGGCCGTTATCAGAAACAGGTTCAGTCATTGGAGCAGGAGAGGGTTTCTTACCAGCTTGGCCCATTCCCGAATTGGGGGTGAAGGGTTGTTTCTGACCTGTGTAATAGTTTCCATGCCGAGTAAGAAACAGATTAGGCACAAGGTCAGTTACAGTCAGTTTTGTATGCATTGTTTGTTCAGGCTGTTCTTGAGTATCTCCATTCTGGCCATAGCCAACATTGGTGGGCACAGGTTCAGGTTCGACTGGCATTGGGAGGTTATATGGATTTTGGCCACCTACGCTATAAAGGGAGCCATAGACGTGGCTATAAGTAGGGGGCACAGGTCTGCTGTATTTGCGGTTTGGGGAACCATGTTCACTACCTTG